GTTCAAACCCACCAGCCACTCCTTGGGAGGAAGGTTGGGCAATCCACTTCCATAGTGATATTGCCTTGGAACCCCAAGGAGGGGTCGCTATGAGTCGGGTCCGACTTGACAGCACATAACAACAACAACAACAATGAGGAGAAGGAGCCCGGGTGCCATAACAATTAAATACTTGGCTGCTAACCAAAAGGTCAGGGGTTCAAACCCAGCCAGTGGCTCAACTCAGGAGAAAAACCTGGCCATTGGCTTTCATGACGATTCTCAGATTGCTTAGGGAACCCTCTGCAGCAGTTCCACTCTGTCCTCTAGGGGCGCTGTGAGTCAGAATCAACTCCAGGCAGTGGGTGTGGTTTGGGCTTTGCTTCTGTAAAGACTGACAGCCTGGGACACCCTGTGGTGCAGTTCCACTCTGTCCTCTAGGGGCGCTGTGGGTCAGAATCTACTCCAGGCAATGGGTTTGCTTTGGGCTTTGCTTCTGTAAAGACTGACAGCCTTGGAGACATTGTGGGGCAGTTCCGCTCTGTCCTCTAGGGGCACTGTGGGTCAGAATCGACTCCACAGCACACAACACCACCACCAGCAATGAGAAGAGGATGACACTCAACCTTGTTATTTATGCCCAAAGATAAGCAGAGACCAGTGGAAGCTTCTATGGAAGAAATGTTGAACATTATCAATAATTCACCTGTTGGATGACATTCCTTGGGTCACAGAGGAATTACTCACATGGTATGAAATTCAGAAATGCAAGAGGATAATAGCGATGACATTGGTGACATTGGGGACACAGGCCAAGAACTCCCCATGGACAGAATGATGAAATGGAGGATCTGGTCATTACTGACCTTCAACAGAGCGTACTTACTGGTGCCCAAGAGATTCCAGCCGTTTAGTCAATTAAAGGGAGGCTGCCTAGTCAAGACCCTTGGTTAAAGTGCAAGTGACACTACAAGAAACTCTGTGGAGGCCACCTGTCTCACCCCAAGGGAACCACCTCATCCCTTCTCAGGCATCCGAGCCAACTCAGTTAAGTCACTGATGGCTGAACACACTCCCAATATGCCCACCAGAGGGTGCCTGTTCTCACTCAAAAAATAATAATTAAAAAAAAACTCACTGCCATGGAGTCGAAACTGACTCATAGAGACCCCTCCTTGGGTTTCCGAGGCAGTATCACTACGCAAGTAGATTGCACAATCGTCCTTTGAGGAGTGGCTGGTGGTTTTGAACCACCAGCCTTCTGGTTAGCAGTCAAATGCCTTAGGCACTATGCTACCAAAACCCCCATTCATGTTAGGTCATTTACTTCAGCTCCACGCACCCCGGTGGCACAATGGCTGAGTGAGGTCAGTAGTTCAAAACCACCAGCTGCTCCAAAGGAGAAAATACATGATGGTCTATTCCGGTGAAGGCTGCTGTTATGTGCTGTTGGCTCAATCCCAACTCCTAGTGACCTGACAGGACAGAGTAAAACTGCCCCAAAGGGCTCCCTGGGCCGGAATCTCCACAGAAGCACAGGTTTTTTCTCCCCTGGATCAGAACCCCAGTCCTCAAGCCACCAGATGTCATGAGTATCTGGCGTTATTTGCACCTGAATGTGTGATGTGACAACTTACTAAATCTTTTCCTTAAAGACGAAAAAAAAAAAAAAACTATGCCTGATATTGCTGACAAACCCATGAGGAAACGCTCACAGTCATGAGGACTTAGACAGATGAAGATCCAAACGACAGTGAGATATCATCTCACCCCACCACTAATCACAAAGTTCAAAAAAGCAGAAAATGACAAATGCTGGCTAGGGCGTGGAGAGACTGGAACCCTCATGTACTGTTGGTGAGACTGTAAAATGGTGCAACCGCTGTGGAAAACAGTGTGACGCTTCCTTAAAAAGCTGGAAAGAGAAACACCGTAGGAAGCAGCAGTCCCACTGCTAGGAATCGATCCTAGAGAAATGAGAGCCATGACATGGACAGACACGTGCACACTCATGTTCATGGCAGCACTAGTCACAATAGCAAAAGGCTGGAAACAGCCTAAATGCCCATCAACGGAGGATGGAGCAACAAACCATGGCGCGCACATATACACACACACACACAATGGAATATTACACAATGGTAAAGAATGGTGATGGGCAAGGTCCCAAGAATGAGTGATCAAGACGATGTCACTAAGGAAGAGGAAGAAAAGGAAGACACAGAGGTAGAATGATGAATCTGCCACAATGATGAACATCTCGTAACACAGATGAACCTAGATGTCCTTGTGCTGAGTGAAATCAGTCAACTACAAAAGGATAAAGACCGTGTGAGACCACCATGGTAAGAAGTCAAGCAAACGGTTTCACAAAAAAGAAATACTCTTGGCTGATAACCAGGGAAGGGAGGGCAAACCACTGATTAGAGTGTGTTGTTGTTGTTGTTGTTGTTATGTGCCGTCGAGTCAAACCCGACTCATAGCGACCCCTCCTTGGGTTTCCGAGGCAGTATCACTACAGAAGTAGGATTGCCCAACCTTCCTTCCGAGGAGTGGCTGGTGGGTTTGAACCGCCAGCTGTCTGGTTAGCAGGCAAGTGTCTTAGCCACTATGCTACCAGAGCTCCCGACTAGAGTGTAGACACATAAAGTGTAGACACATAAAATTCACGTCAAACCAAATGAAAACAAACCTACTGCCATCGAGTCAATTCTAACTCACAGCAACTGTGATGGTTGTGTTTGTGGGTCAAAGTGCCTGGGCCTGGTTGAGTGGCTGGGCAGCTGGTGGTAGTTATTCCCCATGAGGAGACTGGCAATCAACTCCATGGTGGGATCTACCACAAGCAGCTGAGTGGCTGCCTTTGGGATGTGGTCTGCTTCCTGTATATAAGGAGAAGCCTTGGGAATGGTCTCTAGCCTGTGGCACGCTTGGACCCTGCATGTAGCCGTATCGTTGCTCAGCAGCCTGCCATGCTCTGCCGACCCTGGGACTTACAATGGACTTAAGTTAATGGCCTGCCCTGTGGTTTGGTAACATCAGGACTGTGCCTTTTGACTTGTCAACCTTGGGGCTTCTCAGCCTCAGCAGCCAGCAGCTGTCTGAGTGAAGAAAAGCCTCTAGCTCCTGTGGGCCGGGAGCAGGAGGCAGAGCTGGACCCCAAGGTTGAGGGGCTTTCACCCAGCCCCTAGAGCCTGGCACTTTGCACTTGGACTTAAAGCCTCCAAACTGTAAGAGAATAAACTCCTGTTTGGTAAGCCCATCCCCTTTGTGGTATTTTTCTTGTCAGAGCGGCACCAGGAACCGGAACAGCAATGCTATAGGGCAGAGTAGAACTGATCATCTTTACAGAAAGAGACTGCCGCATCTTTCTCCCACAGAGCAGCTTGTGGGTTCGAACCACTGACCTGTCGGTTAGCAACCGCGCACTTAACCACTGCGCCCCGAGAGCACAGTCCACTTCTAGCCTAGTGCAGGCAAGCGGGGGTATCTCCTACCTCAACGACCACAGCCGCTTACTCTCAAGGAGCACAGCCGCTTACTCTCGGCTCAGCCTTCGCCTTCCACTCTGTTCCCCATACGACCGCCGCCAGGGGGCGCCCGCTCCCACTTAAAGCAGCTTACGCTCGCGACTCCAAAGGGCCTCCAGCCTCCCTCAAAGTCAAATCCAAGGCTTCCCGCGGCCCACTGCGGCCCCCTTTGCTCTCAGTTGCCACCCTGGCCTCACTGCTTCTCCAACAAGCCGGGCACAGTCCAGCCCTTTGACAAGGGCCGCTCCCTCTGCCTGCAACGCTCTTTCCTCGCGCAGCCCCGGGGTTTGCCCTCTCACCACCTTGGGCATCTGCTTACTTACACTTTCGTGAGGGCTCCTCAGACCTCGTCAAGCAGTCCCGTTCCAAGCGTCCCAAACCCTTAACGTGTTCCGTTCTCCTTTCTTTAGTAATTAAAACCTTCCGAGATAATGCACTTAACCAGGTTCACTGTGCACTCCCTGCCCCTACCCGCCGCGGTGCCGGCAGGTTCAGGGACCATCTGCATCTTGTCATCTTGTTCACCGTTTTGCCCTCAGTACCTACACGGCGCGCTGGCCCACAGAAGTTTCTGGCCGAGAAAGTGACTTTGGTATTTCATTTCATTTTAATTACTTAAAATTGAATAGCTGCACATCACATATGCCTCTTAAAAAAAAAAAAAAACCAATGCCATTGAGTTGATTCTGACTCATAGCGACCCCCATTGGGTTTTCAAGGTGGTTAATCTATAGAGAAGCAGAGCTCCCTGTCCTCCTTCTACAGAGCAGCTGGTGGGTTTGAACCGTTGACCTTCTGGTCAGCAGTCAAATGCCTTAGGCACTGCACCACCACAGCTTTGTAGGTCATGTGCCTAGTGGCTCCCATATTGTGTTGTTGTTATGTGCCTTGGAATCGTCTCTGACTCATAGCGACACCTCCTTGGGTTTCCGAGGCAGTATCACTACGGAAGTAGATTGCCCCATCTTCCTTCCGAGGAGTGGCTGGTGGGTTTGAACCGCCAGCCTTCTGGTTAAGTATCACTATGGAAGTAGATTGCCCCATCTTCCTTCCGAGGAGTGGCTGGTGGGTTTGAACCGCCAGCCTTCTGGTTAGCAGTCAAGTGCCTTAGGCACTGCACCACCAGAGCTCCCAGCTACCATACTGGGCAGCACCAATCCAGACAGTGCCTGGCACATGGAAGACTTTCCTTCAATATTGGTTGAATGACTGCACTGATGAATGAATGAATGAATGAATGAATGGAGTACTTCCAACATTCAAGCACTATTTTCAACCCTTTGCAGGCATTTATCTAGTTTTAATCCTCACATCAAGGGGCGTTGGTGGCAAAACAGTTCAACCCTCGACTGCTAACTGAGAAGTTGGCCGTCTGAACCCATGCAGTGGCTTCGAGGGAGAGACACCTGGCAATCTAGTCCCGCAGAGATAGCAGCCGAGGAAACGCTATGGGGCAGTTGCCCTCTGTCACATGGGGTCGCTGTGAGTTGGCACTGACTTGCTGGCACCTAGCAAGAATCCTCCCATGAGTCCTAAGGGGTAGGTACCTCTATTTTACAGGTGACAGACTCAGACACACAGAGCTTCCTAAGGAAGGTCATGTAACAGATGACAGCCAAAAGTCAAATCCAATGCTTTTAATAAACCAGGCATTCACTGCTCAGTGGTACACCCTTGGAGCTCCCCAATGCCCCAGGAATGGGAGTTCCGTGTGGTCAGATCTAAAGGTTACCAAAGAGTCCGGTACCCAGGCCCTTACCTTGGTTCCCGGCTGTGGGGAAGGGCGGTGGTGGCCCTCAGGGCTAGAAGGCCGGGAGACCTTTGGAGACCCGAGACCTGGAAAGGTAGGGTAGAACTTACATGAAGAAGAGAAATGCAGAGAGACCCTTACCTGACGCCGATGCTCACCTGAGGACGGGCTGGCGAGGTCCCTGTCACCCCCAGGAGGCTGCCCCCAGTCAGACTCGGGGCACTGGGAGCAGCTCAGCTCCAAGGACTCAGGCAGACTCTGGAGGGGTCGGAAAAAGGAAATGATGATTATGAAGACGCTGGCCGTTTGTCAAGCTGTTAGCTCGAGTCCGGTTAAGACTGTACAGCAGAAGCCAGATAGCCTGGTTTCAAATCCCAGTGCTGCTGTTTATAGTCTGTGTGACCTGGGGCAAGTTACTTTACCTCTCTGGGCCACACTTTGCCTTCCCTGTGAGGATGGAGACCATACATGAAAGGTAAGTAGAAAAGGCAGCTATTATTATTATCATTTACACCCAAATTACGTATAGACAAGCTGAAACTCAGAGAATGACATCACTGGCTGACGTCATGCAGGTAGCAGGGCTGGGATCCGAGTGTGGTCCCCTAGACACCCAGACCCAGGTTCATAACATCTATAGATTCCATTTTGCCTGCTCAGGATCAAGGAGCGCTGGTGGTGTAGTGGGTAAGGCATTTGTCTATAACCAGAAGGTCATCAGTTCAAACTCACCGGCTGCTCAGTGGAAGAAATATGGGGTGATCTACTTCTGTAAAGATTTACAGCCACGGAAATCCAGTGGGGGTTGTTATGCATGGGAAACTCAACAGCAGTGAGTTTGGTTTTGTTTTGGTTTGCCCAGGGCCATACAGCGTAGAAAGAACTCTAGGAAAGAAAAAAATCCATAGGGCCAAAGAATGGGGTGGACACATGGTCTGAAGGTCAGGGCTCGGCAAAGACAAGGGCTCCTGCTCCCTGAGAGCCTACGTTCACTGTCTAATTGTTACTGAAACTCACTCCAGAGACGACTCCGACTCATAGAGCTTCCAAGGCTGTCAATCTTTATGCAACCAAAGGCCGAACCAAACCCACTGCTGTTGTTGTTATGTGTCGTTGAGTGGGACCCGACTCATAGCGACCCCTCCTTGGTTTTCCGAGGTGGTATCACTACGGAAGTAGATTGCCCCATCTTCCTTTAGAGGAGTGGCTGGTGGGTTTGAACCGCCAGCCTTCTGGTTAGCAGTCAAGTGCCTTAGGCACTACGATACCAGAGCTCCTCTGCAGGGCAGTCTATTTCCACTCACAGTGCCCCTAGAGGACAGAGTGGAACTGTACCACAGGGTTTCCAAGGCTGTCAGTCTTTATGGAAGCAAAGCACAAACCACACCCACTGCCATGAAGTTGATTCTGACTCACAGTGCCCCTAGAGTACAGAGTGGAATTGCACCACAGGGTTTCCTAGACTGTCAATCTTTATGGAAGCCGACTGCCTCATCTTTCTCCTGTGGAGTGGCTGGTGGGTTTGTTGACCTTTTGGTTATCAGTCCAGTGCCTTAACCATTGTGCCACCAAATATATAGAAAACCCATTTCATTTGTGGTTTCTGGATTGGTAAATCTTTACAGAAGTAGATTGCCCAGTCTTCCTTCCATGCAGTGGCTGGTGGGTTTGAACCACCAACCTCCTGGTTAGCAGTCAAATGCCTTAAGCACTGCACCACCAGAGCAGAGCTTCTTACATGACAGAGTAAAAAAAAAAAAAAAAAAAAATCTCATTGCTTTGGAGTTGATTAAACTCACAGTGACCCCTCCTTGGGTCTCCGAGGCAAGGTCACAGTGAAAGTAGGTTGCCCAGTCTCTGCAAATGTGCGGTGCTTGTGGCCCACCAAGAGGATCAGACAGCTTGTTAATAATGTAAATAAGGTGCATGGCACCTTTATGGGTGTGGGACCATGGAAATAAGGTGTATGACAGTGTATGTGGGCATTGGTCAGTTTTGCTGTCCTGCTAGGCTTAAAACGATCCATCCCTGGGAACGGAAGGGGAGGGGAGTAAATCTCACTACCATCAAGAAAGAAGAGCCAGGAGTGGAGTGTGCCCTTTGGACCTGAGAGCCCTGTGCTGAGCTTCCTTGACCCAGGAGAGAGAGAGAGGGAGTGCTGTAACACTGCTGGGATGACAAGAAGTGGCGAGAAGCAACGGCAGAGAAATGGGTGGCAACAGAAATAGGAGACCTGGCAAGAGACAGCGTGGTGGGCTTCTGGACCCCTGGAACCAGAAGGCTGAGCACCTCCAGCCAGGAGGCTTGCTGCCACAGTGAGGTACTGTCCGGCACTCAGGGGAGCGAGTTCTGCTGAAGTAGGACCTAGGGCTGAGCACCAGGCAGAGGCTTCCTAGCAGAGTGGGGGTCCTCTAGGTCCTTATAGGCAGA